CACCATGACCTGTCACACCCGCGACACACTGACACCAGCCCCCCACCATGACCTGTCACACCCGCGACACCCTGACACCAGCCCGCACCATGACCTGTCACACCCGCGACACACTGGCACCAGCCCCCACCATGACCTGTCACACCGCGACACCCTGACACCAGCCCCCACCATGACCTGTCACACCCGCGACACCCTGACACCAGCCCCCCACCATGACCTGTCACACCCGCGAACCCTGGCACCAGCCCCCCACCATGACCTGTCACACCCGCGACACACTGACACCAGCCCCCCACCATGACCTGTCACACCCACGACACCCTGACACCAGCCCCCCACCATGACCTGTCACACCCGCGACACACTGACACCAGCTCCCCACCATGACCTGTCACACCCGCGACACCCTGACACCAGCCCCCCCACCTTGACCTGTCACACCCGCGACAACCTGACACCAGGCCCCCCACCATGACCTGTCACACCCGCGACACACTGGCACCAGCCCCCCACCATGACCTGTCACACCCGCGACACACTGACACCAGCCCCCCACCTATGACCTGTCACAACCCGCGACACACTGGCACCAGCCCCCCACCATGACCTGTCACCCGCGAACACACTGACACCAGCCCCCTACCATGACCTGTCACACCCGCGACACCTGACACCAGCACCCCACCATGACTGTCACACCCGCGACACATTGGCATCAGCCCCCAACCATGACCTGTCACACCCGCGACCACACTGACACCAGCCCCCCACCATGACCTGTCACACCCGCGACACATTGGCATCAGCCCCCACCTGACCTGGTCACACCCGCGACACACTGGCACCAGCCCCCCAACATGACCTGTCACACCCGCGACACACTGACACCAGCCCCCCACCATGACCTGTCACACCCGCGACACACTGACACCAGCCCCCCACCATGACCTGTCACACCCTGCTGGCTCCTACGATCCACTACATGAATACTTACTCACCCCCGCCGCGCCCTCCCCATCACCCAGTTGGGGAGGCGGACGGCAGGAGGGGGAACAGAAGAGGGGGCGCAGGAGGGTAGGAGCAGATTTCAGGCAAAATATCTCAGATTTGCCCAGAACGAAAAAAAAACACCACAATATAAATCTGGAGAAAGAAAAGCTGAAATGTACTTAAATATCCGATGTGATATTTGTGTTGTTTTCGAGTACACTGAGTAATTCTGATGTCACAGTGACAGTGTACAAGAGTACACGCTGAGTACAGCGTTTAAGTCTTACTGGTTGTTTAACAGGGTTTAAAACCTGTTGACTTACACGAGGGTCATTAAAACCGCATGTGACCTCTTCACTAGTCAAGATTACTCGGAGTATATACACTGAGAACCATACACTTTGCCCTGTATATATCCTTCCTTAATTAATGGTTAATTGGGTTAAAAGCCTGTCGACTACTAAAAGAGTCACTTGGTAATCACAATCCATAAAATGAGAATTAAAGTCAAGTCTTCAGCGTACTGACTCTGTAAATGATGTGGTCGGTCAATGATGTTGTGGTCCATAATTTCTGTCGTGGTCCATAAATGATGTGGTCCGTAAACATTGTGATCTGTAAATTATATTGTGGGTTGTAAATGATGCTGTGGTCCGTAAATGTGGTCCGTAACTGACGTAGTCCATAACTGATGTGGTTCGTAAAATGGGAACGAAGAGAGATAGTAGAGGGCAGTGAGTGACTAGATCAATAAAAGTTTTCTATACTAATAGTAGGAGTCTAAGAAATAAGTTAAATGAGGTAAGATTACTTGCAAGTGCAGGTAATATAGATATTATTGCTATAACGGAGACCTGGTTCAACCTGATAGATGCCTTGTAAATGCCACATACAAGGATATAAACTATTCCACACTGATATGGTCAACAGGAAGGGTAGTGGAGTGGCGATGTAGTCAGAGATAATTTAAATAGTTGTGTTAGACAAGATATAAGATTAGAAGGATCGGGCACAGAATCTGTTTGGGTCAGATTCTCGAGGGTCTTGAAAAATTAATTTTGGGTGTGATTTATAGGCCCCCAAATCTTGATAGGGCGTGCAGTAAGCTGTATGGGACGAAATTCGCAAGGTGTTTAGATATGAAAATGCGTTAATGGGAGATTTTAACTTTAGACAAATTGATTGGAACAATATGACGGGAAATCTTGAGTCTAGTGACTTTCTTGATAAGATTCAGAATTGATTTTTAAAACAGTTTGTGACAACCAACTAGAGGAAACAGTCTGCTTGACTTGGATCGAGCCAACAAAGAATCACTAATGAATAACCTTGAGGTTAATGATGAACTTGGGGAAAGCAATCACAAATCACTTACTTTCAATATATCATGGAATTGCCCAAATAATTGCAATCAAGTCTCTGTCCCAGACTTCCTCTTGGCCGATTTCATGGGACTGAGAAATTACCTGGGTGGGCTGAACTGGAATAATCTGACTATGGGTCAGGTAGGTGGTGATGGTTGCTAATATGACATTTTTCAGAGCATAGTTCTAGCTGCTCAGACAACTTATGTTCCGAGTAGGGAAATCAGATCAACCAAAACTGATCCCAAATGGATAAACAATAGATTAAAACATCTCACTGGTCAAATGAGAGGCATATATAGGCTTATCAAAAGAAGGGATGGGCAATTAAGAAATCAGTATATTCAATTAAAGAGAAGAAATAAAAAAAAAGGAATAAGAAAAGCAAAAAGAGATTATGAGGCTAAAGTAGCAAGGGATTCGAAGTCTAACCCAAAAGGATTCTTTCAAGTATACAGAAGTAAGATTAGGGACATGATAGGCCCACTCATAAGTAACTCATGTCAGATCACTGACAGTGATAAGGAAATGTGTGAAATTTTTAACTCTTACTTCCTCTCAGTTTTTATGCATTAAGTTACTAGTGAGTTTCTAAAAATAATAAATTATGTTGAACAGGACGATAATAAACTATGCACGATTAGGGTAACTAGTGACATGGTCCTCAGACAAATAGATAAATTAAAACCAAACAAAACCCCAGGTCCTGATGAACTGTTTGCAAGGGTGTTAAAGGAATGTAAAGAGGAACTTAGCATACCTTTGGTTAATCTTTTCAAAATATCACTACAAACTGGCATAGTGCCAGACAAATGGAAAATGGCAAATGTAATGCTTATTTACAAAGCAGGAGACATGTCCTTAGCTTCGAACTGTAGACCTCACCTCCATAGTGGGAAAATTTATGAAATCAATAATTGCCGAGGAAATCTGTGGCCATTTTGAAAGGAAAGGCATAAATTGATTAATAAATCTCAGCACGGTTTTACAAAGGGGCGTTCCTGCCTTATGAATTTACTAACTTTTTTCACTAAGGTATTTGAGGAGGTAGATCATGGTAATATGATATTGTGTATATGGACTTCAGTAAGGCTTTCGATAGAGTTCCACACCAGAGGCTGTTGAGGAAAATTAAGGCACACGGAATAGGAAGAGAAATTTCTTCCTGGGTAGAGGCATGGTTGACAGGCAGCAGAGAGTTTGCATCAATGGGGAGAAATCAGAGTGGGGAAACGTCACAAGTGGTGTTCCACAGGGTTTGGTGTTAGGCCCTTTGTTGTTCACAATTTATATAAACGACATTGATGAGGGAATAAATAGCGACATAAGCAAATTTGCTGATATCGCTATTTATTCCAAAATAAGCAGTCTAATTCATTCTAATGAGGACATTAGAGCACTCCAGGAAGATTTGAATAGACTGATGCAGTGGTTAGAGAAGTGGGAGAGACAGCTTAATATAGACAAATGCAAAGATCTAAACAGTGGACAGGAAAATAACCATGCCACATATAAACTAATTAATGTACTGATTGCGAAAAAGAATTAGGAGTTCTGGTTAGCAGTAATCTGAAACCAAGACAACAATGCATAAGTGTTTGCAATAAAGCTAACAGAATCCTTGGCTTCATATCAAGAAGCATAAATAATAGGAGTCCTCAGGTTGTTCTTTAACTCTATACATCCTTGGTTAAGCCCCATTTAGATTATGCTGCACAGTTTTGGTCACCATATTACAGAATGGATATAAATGCTCTGGAAAACGTACAAAGGAGGATGACAAAGTTGATCCCATGTATCAGAAATCTTCCCTATGAGGATAGACTGAGGGCCTTAAATCTGCACTTACTTACTTACTTACTTACTTACACTCTCTAGAAAGATGTAGAATTAGGGGGGATATGATTGAGGTGTATAAATGGAAAACAGGAATAAATAAAGGGAATATAAAGAGCGTCCTAAAAATATCTAGCCTAGACAGGACTCGGAGTAATGATTTTAAGTTGGAAAAATTCAGATTAAGGAAGGATATAGGAAAGCACTGGTTTAGTAATAGAGTTGTGGATGAGTGGAACTCCCGAGTACCGTCATAGAAGCTAAAACTTTGTGTAGTTTTATAAATAGGTTAGATAAATACATGAGTGGGTGTGAGTTGGACCTGACTAGCTTGTGCTAATAGATCTGATGCCGTATCCCTTCCTTAAGAGGGTGTGATCTGACCTGACTAGATTGGGTCATTGGCTTAAGCCGATGGCTGACTTTGACCCGCCTCGCATGGGCCAGTAGGTCTGCTGCAATGTTCCTTCTTTCTTATGTTCTTATCCGACAAATGGTGGCATGAGAAAAATAGTGAAGTACTGGAGAAGGGGAGAGGCATCTTGGTGATGGAATGGGAGAAAGGAGGAAAGGTGGAGGTAGTAGGAGAACAGAGGGGGAAGAGAATGACCAGAGAAAAGAAACCAATTTGAAGGATGGAAAGAAATTGAACGGGAGGGCTGGAACTAGGGCGAGATGGATGGAAGGTGGGAGGGAGAGACCTAGTTAGAGGAGGGAGGGAGGGACCCAGAAAAAGGAGGGAGGGAGGGACACAGTAAAGGAAGGGAGGGAGGGGTCATGCAGGAAGTATTAAGGCAGGGAGCGCGGTGTTGGCACTCACTATCCTCATACCCTTCACACCGAACAGTAAGGTGAGTACGTACACACACCACACACACACAACACACACAACACACACACACACACACACACACCACACACACACACACACACACACAGCATATGGGCGCCTGGCAAACCTGAGAACAGCTTTCCGATACCTTAGTAAGGAATCATTCAAGACACTGTACACCGTGTATGTCAGGCCCATACTGGAGTATGCAGCACCTGTTTGGAACCCGCACTTGATAAAGCACGTCAAGAAACTAGAGAAAGTACAAAGGTTTGCGACAAGGTTAGTTCCAGAGCTAAGGGGAATGTCCTATGAAGGGAAATCGGCCTGACGACACTGGAGGACAGGAGGGTCAGGGGAGACATGATAACGACATATAAAATACTGCGTGGAATAGACAAGGTGGACAAAGACAGGATGTTCCAGGGAGGGGACACAGAAACAAGAGGCCACAATTGGAAGTTGAAGACACAAATGAGTCAGAGAGATAGTAGGAAGTATTTCTTCAGTCATAGAGTTGTAAGGCAGTGGAATAGCCTAGAAAATGACGTAGTGGAGGCAGGAACCATACACAGTTTTAAGACGAGGTTTGATAAAGCTCATGGAGCGGGGAGAGAGAGGGCCCAGTAGCAACCGGTGAAGAGGCGGGGCCAGGAGCTAGGACTCGACACCTGCAACCACAAATAGGTGAGTACAAATAGGTGAGTACACAGTGAAGAGGCAGGGGTAGGAGCTATGAACCGACCCTTGCAACCACAATTAGGTGAGTACACACACACACAATGAACATCAAAATGGTATACAATACCGACAGGTTGTTAGGTAAGACACATATGCAACAGTTAGACAACTTTATTCCGAAACGTTTCGCCTACACAGTAGGCTTCTTCAGTCGAATACAGATTTTAGGCAGGAACAGTAGAGATGTGAAGACGATGTAATCAGTCCATCACCCTTGTAGTCGTAGAATTTGAGCTTTATCACATTAGTTACATGTGTCTATTTACCTAACATCTTCAGAGAGTTGAGGGATAAAATGCAGGTGATCACCTATATTATAGTGTGATAAGATCACCTATATTATAGTGTGATAAGATCACTTATATAATAGTGTGATAAGATCACATATATAATAGTGTGATAAGATCACATATATAATAGTGTGATAAGATCACCTATATTATAGTGTGATAAGATCACTTATATAATAGTGTGATAAGATCACTTATATAATAGTGTGATAAGATCACATATATAATTGTGTGATAAGAAACACTTATATAATAGTGTGATAAGATCACATATATAATAGTGTGATAAGATCACTTATATAATAGTGTGATAAGATCACATATTTTAATAGTGTGATAAGATCACATATATAATAGTGTGATAAGATCACCTATATTATAGTGTGATAAGATCACTTATATAATAGTGTGATAAGATCACATATATAATAGTGTGATAAGATCACATATATAATAGTGTGATAAGATCACTTATATAATAGTGTGATAAGATCACTTATATAATAGTGTGATAAGATCACTTATATAATAGTGTGATAAGATCACTTATATAATAGTGTGATAAGATCACTTATGGTATAAACCTTGGTAATAAATACCGACAAGTTGGTTTAGAAAGACACGTAAGCAAACACTATAACATATTTATTAGAAAACGTTTCGGTCCTGGAACCTTGATCACTTCTAACATACAGAGGTAGAAAGACATTATATATATAGGCGGAGAGTGAGATGTGACGCACGTGACCTGAGGAATGTATAAGAACATAAGAATGGAGGAACACTGTAGAAGGCCTACTGGCCCATGCGAGGCGAGGGTAGACGATGAAATCACGTGACTCCTGTGTTGTTGGGTTGGTGCTGCTTAAGTATCATGTATGCCAATGTTTTTGAAATTTTGTAGTTTCCAGTGTTGCGTTCTATAGTGTCGGTGACGGTGATTAGTGAGGCTTCTAGGCACCGTCGGCGTCTGAGGTCTGGTTCGGTGAGAACGAGTTGTGCCTCGTTCCAGTTCATCAAATGCCCCGTGGAGTCTCTGTGGAGGACACAGGCGTACCTTACATCGTCTCTGTTAGAGGCATTTCGATGCTCATTCAGGCGGACTGCAAGATCTTGCCTGTCTCGCCTACATATTTCTTGGGACAGAACCCACAGGGGATAGTGTAGACGCCTGCTGTAGAAGTTAGAGGTGTGGGGCTGCGTTTTGTAGTGAGGTCTTTGATAGAGGATGTGTTTTATGGTGGAAACGTTGATGTTACTCATAGCAAGTGCCCGGCGAGTATTCGTGGCAACATCGCCACATGGGAGTACTATGAACTGTTTAGGGGGCTGTTCCATGGGCGGTTTGTTGAGGATAGCTTGTGCCTTGAGTCTGCAATCTCGGATGAAGAAAGATGGGAACTGAAGACGTGTAAAGGCTTGTGTTATGTAAGCGCATTCTTCTTCTAGAAAACAAGGGCTGGAGATGCGAAGAGCTCTCAAGAAGAAGCCAATGAGGACTCCTCTCTTAGTGCGGGTATCTTGGTGTGAATAAAAGTGTATAAGATCGTCCTTGTTGGTAGGTTTTCTATACACTTTGAAGAGAAGTTTGTCACTGTCGGGAGATCTGCACAGTAGAACGTCGAGGAAAGGATGTTGCCACGAATACTCGCCGGGCACTTGCTATGAGTAACATCAACGTTTCCACCATAAACACATCCTCTATCAAAGACCTCACTACAAAACGCAGCCCCACACCTCTAACTTCTACAGCAGGCGTCTACACTATCCCCTGTGGGTTCTGTCCCAAGGAATATGTAGGCGAGACAGGCAGAGATCTTGCAGTCCGCCTGAATGAGCATCGAAATGCCTCTAACAGAGACGATGTAAGGTACGCCTGTGTCCTCCACAGAGACTCCACGGGGCATTTGATGAACTGGAACGAGGCACAACTCGTTCTCACCGAACCAGACCTCAGACGCCGACGGTGCCTAGAAGCCTCACTAATCACCGTCACCGACACTATAGAACGCAACACTGGAAACTACAAATTTCAAAAACATTGGCATACATGATACTTAAGCAGCACCAACCCAACAACACAGGAGTCACGTGATTTCATCGTCTACCCTCGCCTCGCATGGGCCAGTAGGCCTTCTACAGTGTTCCTCCATTCTTATGTTCTTATGACATTCCTCAGGTCACGTGCGTCACATCTCACTCTCCGCCTATATATATAATGTCTTTCTACCTCTGTATGTTAGAAGTGATCAAGGTTCCAGGACCGAAACGTTTTCTAGTAAATATGTTATAGTGTTTGCTTACGTGTCTTTCTAAACCAAGATCACTTATATAATAGTGTGATAAGATCACTTATATAATAGTGTGATAAGATCACTTATATAATAGTGTGATAAGATCACTTATATAATAGTGTGATAAGATCACTTATATAATAGTGTGATAAGATCACTTATATAATAGTGTGATAAAGCTATATTAACACATCGAGTAATATAACTTAAGATAGTGTTAATGTTGTGACGTCACAAGTACACCTCACGTTCACAATTACACAAAAACAACACACATCGCCATAACATAAACACTGAATTAATTAGCAAACTTGAAAATAAAGTAAATTAACCTCATTTTTTAACACTGAGTCTAAATTCTGAAAGCAACACAAAGATTGTGGGATATTACTATATTATATATGTCTCAGTCTGATAATGAAGGCGGTCTTGGGAAGTGATTTTATTGAATTTGCACGTAAGATTATTATTATATTCGAAAAAGCTCTAAACTCGTATGGATCAGAGCAGAGACGGTCTAGGTTGTACAAGTGAGTGACGACGAGCGTCAGTGACGGCGTAACATTAATATTGAGTACAATGGGATAGTTTATGCTAAAAGGTCAAGAGAGGAAGTCTGCGTATAAGGTGGAACTTCCAGCAAGGAAGTCACTAAGGGGAGCTGCGTCCTGGTGCATTGAAAATGTTGAAAGTGAATTCTGTGTGACCAACGATGTTGACAGAACTTTCTAATATATCTTAACAGCACCAATAAATCGTTCAAAAACGATTCATGATGTACCAACCTCGTTGTACAAAAATGGTCTACAATACCGACAAGATGAAAACTGAGACACATGTGCAACATCTGGGTATCTTTATTGTAGACGTTTCGCCATCCAGTGGCTTTATCAATACAGATTCTTCACGACTACGGTGCTCTTCACATCAACTCCAAGGCTGAGGGACTGATTACCTCAACTTTTGTATATAGGTCTACTGTCTTCTAATTATTTCCTAGAATCTGTATTGATAAAGCCACTGGATGGCGAAACGTCTACAATAAAGATATCCAGATGTTGCACATGTGTCTCAGTTTTCATGTACCAACCTCCTCCTGGGAGGTTGGTACATCATGAATAACGAACCGAGCAGCTGAGTCTATATATATGTTACCCTGAACACCAGTGCGTCCAAACACCCAGTCAAAACTACGTCTTTGTAATTTCTAAAAATTCGACATAACCACTCTTGTATACTAACTACGATGAGATGTAGGACGTTCTGTTTCTGGTTAATTTGTAATGCACCTTGAGAGTGAAACAGTAACTAATGAGGTGGACTTGGTTGCTATGTAAATGGTAGTAATGTATATAACATGTAACCGTTATGAAAGGACTGACCAAGTTTAGTAAATATCCTTGGATTACACTATTTGAAAAGACTCCCATGTACCCTACGTCATCCGAGGATTACGAATCATCAGTGTACATCGCCATAACATGAGAACGCGATTAAAAAGTGTTCAAGGAAGAATGAGCAAGAATTTCTAGGGACATGGAAAGCGGGAGAAGAAAATGTGGATTGCTGGAACTTCTCAAGAAGGTCAAGAAGAGTACGATGTAGACTGAACTTATGAGGGAGAGAGCAGATAAAGATATATTGCCCGAGCTCAAGACTGAAAGAACTGTAACAAATAAGTTGATTAAATTAAT